CTTTATGCTCATCAGGGCACTCTGAAAATCGTCACATAGGAGTCGGCTAAATCTTAGAGTAAGCAGTTCCTCCTTCAGAACGGGTACTGGAGTGCAATGGCTCCCCCGTAGTTTCGCCCTCGTTACACATTTCAGAACTTTGAGGTCTGAGATAGTGTTGGTCTGTGTGGTTGTAGCAGGATACCAACGATCGCCTTTTGAGCCTTCGTCTGTCTCTTCGGGGTTAAAAATTCGCCACCACCACTACCATTGTGAGATTGTGTGTGCGTGTGTGTGTGTTTGCTACTGTGGACCTTTGTGTACAGTATTTATCATGCTAAAAGGTGTAGTGGAAGACAAGCTTCATTGTGAATCCTAACTTGGCCTGTGATTTTACAAATGACCCCAACAGAATCAGAAGAAAAGTAAGAAGGGCTAGGAACCGAACACGGACTTGCCACCAAGGTTAGTGTGGAGTGAACGTTTATTATCCCAAACAAAAATGACCAACAAAGCCCCTTAAACCTACCAAAATGCGTCACAGTTCGCGATTTTAACTTACTTCGCTTGAGAACGCACGATAAGATTGCATTTATCCCAGTCTTCTGCCTGAGAGCCCTTATTACTTCCCAATATGCGGTACCGTGCGCACAGCTATGTCTCGGGGGTTTGTAGTCCAAGACGCGACAGTTAGGGGTTGGTTTGAGGGAACTGGGGCTTTTGCAGTCAAAGTCTTACCGGTAAATGAAAGTCCTTCACCACCAGTCGCAATCCGGTAACACGTCATAGACTAATATCGAATTTATTAACAGTTGCTGGCTGCAGTGGTATTTAAAAAAAATTCGCATTCTAGACACCAAGTGCGAATTTTGAACATTAATTTAAATTCTGGGATAACCACTAGACCTATCAGAGGTATTTCTTTAATCGGGTACAAGCGCCAAGTAGGATTCTGAACCATCATAGAAGACCTTTAGAGCCACAACAACGTTTGTATAAAAATTATTATGTTAGAAGATGTAGCAGAAGACAAATTCCTTTGCCAATCCTTATTTCACCTGTAATATTACAAACAACCCCATCAGAGCGGGATAGACCTAAGATAGGCAAAGAACCGAACACGACTTATCTAGGAGGGGTTGATTGGACACGTACACTTGAATAAATATAAATACTGCTATTTGTATTAAAAATAGGTGTACTTACATCCATATTACTAATATTGCTAGCTGAAGTTATATTTGCAGTAATCGTATTAGCGGCTAAATCTGCTTTCAGATTACTCTTTTCTTAGCTCACGTATGTCTGAAAGCATGCAGCTATGTATATAAACCCAGTAATATGAATATACATTTCCTTCTATGCGTGCCGAACAGTAGGCAAAAACGTTAGCGGTCACTAGATTCAAGGTTAGAAAGGGCATACACGGTCAGATCGCAGCCATCCTAGTTTGCTACACTAAAACCTTTGTTATATACTCCATATACAATACCGTGCGCAAAGCTAGTTATCACTTAGCTGTTTGAAGTCCAGGACATAACAATTAAAGTTTGCTCTGAAGGAACTGATATTTTGGCAGTCAAAGTCCTACCGGTAAATAAAAATCCTTAGCCACGCAATGCGTTAACATGTCTTAGACTACTCTCGAACGCAGTAATAGTTTCTAGGGTGCTGTGGTGTTTAGCAGACAATTTCGCAATTAAGACCCAAAGTACGTATTTTTAAATATACAGTTTAATTCTGGGACAATCACTTTACGTGGTAAAGGCAAGTAGAATGCCGAAATATCACAGAAGACCTTTAGAGTCACAAAAAAGTTAGTAAAGTAAATACCTTGATAAAAGTCGTCGGGAAGACAGCCCCATTTGCGAATCTTAATTGTACCTGCGATATTACAAATAACCCCGCGAGTATCGGGAGAGAGCAATAAATCGAATAGGCTTATCAAGGACACTTAAATGAATTCTTAGGCCGGACATGGTGCCTAAGCTCTATGGTCGGAACATGGCAGAATTAAGGATTCGAAATATCCACATCGCCATCAACGTATAGGACTTGTGCGCAATTTAGCAGATATTTACAAAATCACAAATGCTCACTTGTCTTCTGGCGGCGAATAGAGTACAGATGCGCCGGAGGTGATGTAGCAGTTCCACAGATCGCTCCGGTAGCTGCATCCAAAGACACATATGATGGTTTCCGTGCCAACTGTGACAGTGACTGCCGTACGTGCTTCGTCCCACCAAAAGGGGAGCGGTGCACATTCGCTCCATCGGCGTGCTCTCGTATAAAATCTGTTAACGCTTGTACGGTCGCCTTCCCGCGTTTCTCCTCCAATTACAAAGATGCAATCTGTTTTGGAGAAGTAAGGTGTGAAGTTGAAAAGGGCGTGAATATATAATAAAACATATCAATATGAAGCACCGATCAGATAATAGAAGTGTATTTAAAGGCGACAGCCGGCCCTATGCAGTTTGT